TTCGGCCCACGGAGGGCGGGGGCTGGCCACCACCAGCCACAGCTGCTGCAGTGGCTGTTGGCTGCTGATAGTACTGCTTGCTGTCATAAGCTACAGCTGGGGCAGTGGATCGAACATAAGAATAGGAGTCCTAAAAATTAAAAAAAGGGAAATCCTGCAAAATTTTCCTTTAAGTATATACCTGGAGTAAGAAAAGCCATTAGCAGACTCAAAAGATCAGTATATTTCTTCTTGTCTACTGAAGTAGATTTTTAAAAAAGCATTTAGATACAGTATATACAAATACGTGCATTAAATAATCTTTACACATACTTCAGGCTTGAAAGCAACCCTGATTGTCTTTTTCAGGCTTAATACAGGAATTATCCACATGCTCTTAAATCACCTTCCCTGCCACATTATTTTAGTTACTGAAAAGTAACTATTCTCACTAGTTTCTTCATAATGACTATATCAGACCACAAATACACAGATCTTCACAAAATGTGAATTTCTACGAACAACAATAAATTCTCAAGTTTATCAACATGACCCTATACTGGTTTTAAAAATCTCACCATTAACAATACCTCTTTTAGAACATGAAAATGATACTTTTAAAGCCTCCTTTACTTCGTGGTGTATCACCTAGTCCACTAATGACACCTAGTCTATAATGGCAAGTAGCCCAGTTGACACTTCCAGAACTCAGGAGATGGCTAGAAAGCTTAGAAAGGTAGGGCTTGGAAACCATTATATGTATGTACATACACATGTTCTCTCACCCTCAGCATATTTATGGTAAAGCATAAAGAATTGATCACCTGAGGGCTACCAAGGTGTGAACTACTATAGCTGTAATTTACCACTGTATTAAAAAAAAAAATTATTTCCAAGAGATACAGAAGTAAAATCTCACTTTCATACAATCTGTGTAAACTAGAATTACTTTTTTTTTTTTTTTAGGGAACTCTTTTCTGTCCAGATGCATTTAATGACTGATGTTATACGAGTGCCCATGCTACTGTAAAGCTTCCTATGTTACGATTCACTACCAATTATAAAAGCTGTATGAAATAACAGAGAACATGAAGCAATGGTATAGTGTTTTTAAACAAACCAAAATATTAATTATAATCTAGATAATGTCTTGATAAATCTAGGGCTAAAAAGTAAAAAAACCCAAACTACAGGAGACATACTAGTTCAACATCCAGAATTAAAACAGATAAACAGTTGCCTTTTCTGCAAGCTTGTAGCCACATGTGATAGGGCAGTAATGTCATAAAGGGCACCCCAAAATACCCAAATTATACTTCCTCTCCTAAGACCATCTTCTGTCCTCAAATGTTTGGCACCAGAAAGAACTACTGTGGCACACAGGAATCTGACAAGGGAATCATACCTACCTCCACTAAATTTTTTTATTGGAACATTTTTTTCAGCTACATTAGTTTAATGACCCAGCTTACCATAAGCCACTCGATCACTTAAGCTAGCTGAGGTAAGTACTACTCTTTTCAGCAGCAGTTTCAGAAAATTACTTGGAGGTAAACATCAGTTTATTGCTTACTGTGTCAATGTCCAAATCTTAGCTCCAGCATTACTAGTGCTGATAAACATCTACATGAGCCATAGCGTCTGCAGTCACTTCACATTCTACCAGTTTTTGCCACTAAGTAATTTGAGTTGCATCCACACGGTGATTCCCAGAAGAAAACATTTTAAGAATCATCCCATTCTCCTACCCAAAGAGGCTTCATCCTTTTCACATACCACTTAAAAATCACACAACAGAAATAAACAGTTTTTTAACCCACCTGGTAATTCTGCGTCGTGACAGGAGGTGGTGGTGGTGGAGCTTCTTGTTGCCTCTGTGTATAACCATAATCTGTGGCTGTGTGTGCAGTGGGATAGCCCCCGTAGGCAGCAGCTGTGGCAGCAGCTGCAAC